AAGGATTCGCGGCAGTTTCAGCCACTTACTTATGTATAATACATGATAAGCACCCCGTTGCCGTCATATGGTAGATATTTAAAATTTAATTAAAAAGGTAAACGACTCGATATCAAGTACAGTCGAGTCTCGCCATAACGAATTTTAAAAAACATCGATATGCATTCGTTATAGAGTGAATTCGTTATGGGATACAGGGTGCACGGACCGTACAAGCACTAAAAATAGGAAGCACAGACATAAAAGTTAAAACTTAAGCCATTTCAAGAATGCATTAGCCAAAATAGTACTAAATTTAAACTAAAATAGGCTTAGCTCTTATTTTTCATAACGAATTAAGTGGTGACTAATCTTTAAATTTAACGAATTCGTTATATGAAAAAATTCGTTAAATCCCATACAAAATTCAATAAAACACGATATGGATTCGTTATAAAGTGAATTCGTTATAGAGTAGATTCGTTATGGCGAGACTCGATTGTATATCTCGATGAAGATCCTTCAATGAAGATTTCTTTTCGTTAGTCACAAATTTTATATATTTTTCGGTTTAACAGCATAATAAATCTTTTAAAAGGTAACTGCATGATTTTACCATAGTTACGGATTGCGTACTTCTATTTTAAAAATCTTGTTTAAAGACCTGTTAAGCGCTCATGAACCAATAATGACCCCGAGAAGATTATCTTATCCAATGATTTTAACGTAAAGGGTTTTCAGACCTAAGTACCGGAATCTACTACGCCTAGTTAATATGAGATGAGCCACGTGGTTTAGCTTGGGTATCCAGCCTGTCCTTTAATGCTCGATGGAGACTTAAAAATAAAAGTGGAAGGATTCGCTCCAAATTCATACGCGAGGTACTAAAAAGTAAAACATACACTTAGATTTGAACACGAGGTCGTGCCGTTGTAAAATGATGTGCTAGATGTCGCCATACGTACGAGCATTATCACCCACGATCATCATTTCCAGTGGATACTGAAGAAGGCAAGGAGCTGAGAAGACCAGGGCAAATTTTCAACCAATAAAGGCTGACCCAGTACAGCGTCTCGGGTCGCATTTAAGTTAGATGAATCCACACTGTTGGAAGCAATTACACAATTACACGTTAATCGACAAGGGGATCATGGCAAGGATACAGATTTATGAATTCCTACATAGTGTAAGTAGGTAGGTAAGTAGTATTTTATTTATCACGCGAACGAATCTGTATAAGTGCATACATAGTGTAGAGTGTAGAGTGTAGATATTTAATAATGATAACCGTTGATTCTATCATGTTGGCTAGCGATAATTACCTTACTACATAGGTAAATGACATCGTCTTTTAGGTGCTGCTTTTGAACTAATAAGATCCGTGGGAGCGGCGCGGCTCGAACCGTTCCATGGCCAAGTTACATCAATCACAGTCGCATGCATATCACAAAGATTACATAGTACAACAGAATAGGAATAACCTACCTGGGATCAAAACGTCATCTCCTTTTTTCAATGTTGATTAATTTGCCATAATACGGCCCGTAAAGAAAAAGATTTGAATAGCCCCAGCAGAAAATGGAAATACTTTTAAGGGAGCATGACATAAAACTAGAGGAAATCGATGGTTGAGATTAGGTTACAACAAGCACACCTTTAACTCAACCCATGACTCCCTATCTCCAAGATACGAATAATTAGTCAATGTAGCTTGACAAGACCCCACAATCGTGCCTCTTACTTGCATTATTATTTTCGTACTAACTGCTCATGAACATTAGCTATTGGTACAGATGTTACCGCAGCATAATTTCTTCACCATGTCGAAGCGGGCTAACTTACCTTAGGGACCTATTAAGTCGACAACTAATAGCTACTAAAACGCGTTCTTAAAATTCGGTTTCGGTTGTTACTTATGGGAAACACATGGACTGAGAGTATATAAAAAGGTTGCCGATAAAGGTTGATGGGGATTAAGCCGTCTAATCTTTAATGCTTTCTAGCAGATGATAGGATGAGAACGTTGGGAAAGGGGGATCAGACAATCATCCTAGATAAGATCTTCCAATAGCTGCGCTTCTAGAAGCAGCGTTAATGAGCTTCTCGAAGAAGTTAAATTGGTGGCTTGACGCTATTTCTGATAGCAAACTTTCAGGTCGTCCCGGATTGTTCGAGACATCCCACTGATGGTACGCATGGGAAGCACGGTACGCTAGTTAGTCAATTACCTACCTTCAAGAGATTATCCGACATGCATGTAGTGCTCGAGTACCTAAGATAGCATATGCTCAAGATAATAAGTCAGTCTAGCAGCGGAAGTGTGTGTTCCTATGCCAGAGGACTAATATCTCATTCATCTTGCCCAAACCACCAAGGATGAGGCCGAAAGGGGACGGAACAACAAGACCGATATGTGCTATAATATCATGCCCAGGTTTTAGGCTCATGTCAAATGGCTACTGGGAGGACGCTATTCCCGCGTTTTATATTTTTCATTACGGCCTTAGCCATCTCTCCTTTATAGATATACCTGAAGTGTGCCGCTCACTTAGATTGGAAAACGGCATACTTGTGTCTTAAATGTGGCAGAGCGGCCTATAGCTATTGTATGAAGAATAAATAAGCCTTTTATAGGCGAGACGTGAAACTTATATGAAATAGTATTATACTATCCAAGATGTTAGGACGCCGGTAGCGGATACACCCCAGTTACTTAAGTATAGCACCTAAAAGACCCCATGCACATAACTAGGAGCATCGTCGTGAAAAGCCTCAAAGATTCCTAGGTGCTAGCTTCAGGTGACTACCCATTATTTAACACTTTGCAACGAATTGTGTCATGTCGCTTGTCTTACTGCTTAATACTTGAGAGGCTAACTACCAACTACCTCCTCAAACTGTCGTACCGCCTTTGCTTTCAGAAGCCTAGAAGACCAATCACCCCTGCTAAAGAGGATTTTATATTAAGTCGTAGGGAATGTCTTCCATCCTCTACGTTATCGGGTTGAACAAAAGCTATCGTGATGGTGAGCCTTAGTGTTAACCTCGGATGTTACTATTGCTAGTTCCTGTCGCTTTATACATTTCGTTTTACTCAGTCCTTTCTAAACATGTGAAACTCACTAGCATAATATCTCCCTTTTGTCAGTGGTTTTAGATGACAGCCCTGATCAAGGGACAATGCGACTCTGAGCATTGTCGTATGTTGGTGTATTTGGTAACTGTTGCATAAAATATGCACATCTATTTATGCACATATCACTTAGAAACAAAACCCACCTTGAGCCACCTTGAGCCACAATCGTAATGCGGGTAATTTTCTTAACCTTTGTATCTCCTCCAAGTCCGCGACGAAGCGACTTACGAGTCTATACTTCCTACCTACCTACCTATCTATACTTTTTATACTATACATCTATCTCATTTAGGTACCTTCTAACAACTCGGCTTTATCAACGGTATTTGATGAGTGCTGAAGAAATACCAGAGACATACTCATAATCCTCGCGTATAAAAACACGTGAGAATTATATACACATTCGAACACATATTCATATCACGCGAGTGGGATGGCCACGATATCAGAACGCTATGATGCGCTGCTTCGGTGGGTAGAGAGTGATGGTGGATACCTTAATCCTGCCATTGAAATATACCACGATGAGATCACCAAATGGTCTTTCCGCGTGAAAGACTCATGCTCGACTGGGGTGGACGATGTCATAGTTACTCTTCCGCTTTCTAAGTCCCTCTCCTATCTCGATGCCATTCGTGATCACCCGGCTTTCGCTTCTCCATCCAACTCAGATGCCCCGAGTCGCGGGAGTGGAGACTATTTCCCAGAAAAATTCTTGAAAGAAACGCCGCCTCATGTCGTCGGCCGTTTTTTCCTTATGCAGCAATACCTCCTAGGATCTGAGTCCAAGTGGTGGCCGTATATCCGGACCTTGCCTCAACCAGAACATATGAGTAACATCCTCCCGGCAATGTGGCCGTCAGACGATATTGAATTTCTTAATGGGACCAATGCTTCTGCGGCTATTCAGGTTATCAAGTCAGCTCTCAAAAAGGAGCACAAAAACGCCTTGAAGCTACTCCCGCAGAATTACCATCCAGAATACACTCGACCGTTGTATCACTGGGCCTATAGTATCTTCACTAGCCGTAGTTTCCGCCCGTCACTTATTTTCCCCGCGGAGGCTTCCCTAGGGTTGCCATGCGAATTAGATGACTTCTCGGTGTTGCTTCCGTTGTACGACATCGGAAACCACTCGCCACTAGCAAAAATTGCTTGGACCACCGATGAACAGGCTAAAATGTGCATGCTCAAGTCAAGGCAGACATACTCAGCTGGCGAACAAGTATTCAACAACTATGGTATGAAAACCAATGTCGAGCTACTTTTGGGTTATGGCTTCATACTACCAGAAAATGATGATCTCCACAACGACTACGTCCATATCAAGACTAGGGCAGACCCAGAAGCTGGCGATTTGGCGGCTTCGCATGTTGTATCATTGAGGCCAATGGCCCATCGTAGTTCATTCGTCGGGCGGTCGAAACTCTTGAGCGCAGATTCCTTGAGCTGCCTCCCTTGCTTTTCACATATTCAAGATACCCTCATCGCTGCTCTGTACGAAAGCATTACGAAAGGGGGAGATGAAACGAACGATACTAGCCTGAATAAGATCGTACGAGGCGATATTCAGAATGAAGTGCTTAGAAAGATTGTCGATACCTTGGGAGCAAAATTGAGTATGGATCTGGAGGAGATAGAAGTGAACGAACCGGAGTATGAGCCTATCAACAGTAACCAGCAACTCGCTGTGCTCTATCGCGAGCAATGCCAGAAGGTATTGGAGAACGCTCTCCGCAGCCTTTTAACGGCCGACGGTTGAGATATCGTATACATGCAGGTTGGCATACAGGGTCTATGGCCGATGTGGTTGCTTAATCGATCAATTCATTCTCAAACTCCGAACTAGGGGTATCAAAATGCAATCTGCCGCCGACGCCTAATCATACCGGAGCATGCTACTATATTTTCCAGACCCAAGCCATCCAAGCCATTCTTGGCGATTAGATGACGTACTCTTTCTGCCATAACATACTCTTCTAGCACTCCTTTCCTAGTAGGTGCCAAGTTAATGACTACGCCTGCTCCCGGCGTTCGGCTTCCATTCTCCAAATGCTCCCCCTGTTTCGTCGGGTAGAAAAGATATATTTTCATTGAGAAGATTTAAGCATGCCTTGGAAGCTGGTGTATACGAGTCAGCAGCATATTCAAGAACTACGTTATACATGTTTTGAATAGTTGGAGGAGAGTACTTACGCAATAGCAAGCTGACGTCCCCCGAGCTAAGCGCCGCGCTCATCCTAGCCGAATTATAGCAACCGTAAATTTGCTGGAGCGCAAGCATCCGTTCCCATAGTCTTTCGGGGTCACCTTCTGTACCCTCCTCTAGGGCCTTGAGGGATTCTCGTCTCCTACTCCTGGATGCGTCCGTGATGTCTGACGAACATTCGGAACATGGCGACGGGGATCTTGACTCTTGGAACTTGTTGATCGAGTTGATGATTCCGGATTCCTTAATTGCTTTAGGACTGCTACGTGTAAGGGGACATGGCGTTATGGCATCGATGTCATCAGCAATGGCCGATTGGCCCGACTCTCTCGAAGCTTGGGGCATATCGTGTACGACTTGCTGGAATTTACCAGCCAAGGTGTGGTGCGCTACGCTTGTATCTCTGCTAATCTTGTTCGATCGTTGATGGAGAGACCACAGCGTTTTCTGGCACCTGAACGGATAGGACGTCGTTCGGGTTTTCTAAAAATTCGAGTTGTATTTATTATAGGAATAAGATTATGGTAACATTCACGCATCTAAAACTGTAGGCGGATTCTCACCGGCAGGGTGTGGAGCTACAGACTCATATATATATTAAGAGGTACCTATATATCTATATATATACATCAGCTAAAGTAGCATGGGACCATAGAAGAAAACCGAACCGGGTTGGTACACATGCTTCACTTTCGAAAGTGTTCTTGCATGGAAGAGGGTGATGTGATGATGAAACTGCATCCCCTCCAATCACAAGCATCCGGGCCACAGTCGTCAACCCCTGCTGTTGTTGCGTTACTGCATATACTACCGCTGAGCCAAAAAAAAGTTTATATGTAGTACCATATGTAGTATGTAGGTAGGTCGAGAAGCCGGATGTCTCCAGAGACCGATGAACGCCTGACTGTAATGCTCTGAACTGGGTCGATGGCGACATGCGTCAGGCTACCGGATCTGGAGGACGTACAGCATGACTTGGGGAATATCACATAGGAGTCATCATATATCCATCTGCACGGCGTTTGCTTATATAGTATCTATCTTACCGGTGGGCTTTGGTATTAAGTATCGGCTGCGTATGTATATACGGCAACCCGCCCCGCGTCATACGACACACGCAATTGGACATAAGCTTTTCTTTCTTCTTCTTCTTCTTCTTCTCTTAATCTGAGCATCTGGGTCTTAACGATGTTCATATGCGTCTTGTCCCGCAATATTTACCTTGGGGCTAAGACTTTAACTAGTGTATGTAAAAGGAAGGGTGGCCTGCATTGTCGCAGATCTTCAACTACCGGCTGATGCATTTCCGCCATGCCTCCCCCCTCCCCCCCAATTATCGAACCCCGTACCCCGTATACACATATATTAGTTATGCCGGTATCGGCTGCGACACCGTTATATGAGATGATCGAAAGCCTCGTGACCAAGCGAAGCTATACGCTATACTCTATCATTCTAGTTCCTAAGTGGAGGCAGTCTTTTTATTCTATGCAATATTAACACAACTACGATATACGCAAGTATACTAAAAAAAATGATATCACGTAGATAGAGAAGGATTTCTTTTTTTTTCTTTTTTTCTAAAAAAAAAGGAGAAGTCATTCTTCGCATGGAGGCTCGTAGCACGAACTTCGGCAAACGTCTGATTAGACTAATACGCAAAGTCCGCCCAAGACCCAAGATTTATCGACCACGCGGCTGGAGGGAAAGGAGCGGGACTGATTAGGGTTTAGACGATCACTTCCTCCTCTAGAATGATCGTGAATAGTCTTATTATTTGAGATACACACACATATCGTGGCGCTACCATCGCGTATTATTGCAACAAGCTTCTTTGGGTAGACCAACCGCACCGCTGTGCTGGTAGATTGGTAGAATGCATCATGTCAATCACCCAGTGTATCCATCGTTAGTATCATCGGCATCGTTAGTGCGGGGGGTTACACGCCTGAGGACAGGGATTCAGGGATTCAGTTCGGTGATCGTACGTACCTAAGGCGACTTTCTCTCAATAGGTACTCCATTATCATCACCATCAAGGTCTATGGTCTATGTCTCTGCCTCGTAGCATAGTTTTACACGTACGATGTCGGACGAGAGAGTTATCCAACTTCTGGGACGATTTATATCGCACAGTAGTTTGTAAGAGCATCTTCGGAGTATTGCGAGACCCGTAGATTGAAGATTGAATCACGATCATCTGGAGAAGTTGAGGGCTTGCCCGCTTACCGCCATTTTCCCATTCACCCCGACTGCATCGTACCTAGGTACGTTTTCTCTTATCAACCGGTAGCGAGAGGTGATCGCATCACGAGCTATTGATTCGACTCCTCCGGCCCAGTCTACGACAAATGACGGGAGGGATTATGTCCTAAAAAGTCGACACTTACACTTCTGCTCATTCACGATACTTGACTACCTCGCTTCTTTTCACATTTATCTCTATATGGAGACCGTAACGTACAGGTCTGGAGTGCCCAACCCCGCCACCGACATTGAAGACTTTAGGTATACGAATATCGAAATACGCATTGTCGGATAACCCATCGTAGACTAGCCCCTCTGCATTCTCCACGGAATACCTAGGTTGCCCTGGTCAATTAGGCTGCACAGGAAAGACAAGCCCCGGGGGTTGAGCTGGCTTGCATATGATCGACATCTGGAGAGACCTTGCCCCGGACTTTAGCGAGCCAACAACAATAGATGACCATCAAGGTCTAGGCAGCGGCTATACGGCTTACTACTACACCATGTTCCCGTTGGTAAACCGACGCTATTAGTCTTGGGGGGTACACCATGTTCCCGTTGGTAAAGAATGGGTGATCTGCGACTCGCATTCTAAGGTCGGTTTCGCACATGGTGGCGTGTTGAGACGAATACCAAGAATTTTAGATGCCGTCTTTGCCAAGTCGGAGCTCAACCACTATGTGATGATCGCCGTAACACCGGAGCGGAGGTGAAAGCCACTTTATCTGCCGCCGAGCCTTTCTCTCCGAGCGGATGTTGATCATATATATTACAACTGTAAGTCGGATAAGTTCTTCGTTTGCCCCTTTCTTAGTATTTGGTGGACAATTCGTACGTATAAATTTGGCTAACGAGTTGGTAATATGATATACCTCTAACACCGTATTGTCAAGGTTACTAACAACACCTTAGCTTGGATGACGAAGCTAACAGTAGCATTGCCACCGAAACTCCAACATCAGAGCGGGAGACTTTTTGAAGAGGAGCATAAGGCATCTCTTATATATGATAGCGAATAGACGTATCATATAACTTCCCCACGCAAACAGCAATACGACTTCATTCCTCAGGCAGTGTTAACCTATCCACGGAATACCACGTTAACCACCCTATCGCGCCTCTGATAAATGTCGATTTTTAAGATTGTGGGATACGCCAAGTGACGAATATATGACGCGTTAAGTCACCATTAGGCGACTTATAATTGGCTTAATGCTCCCGTTCATTTTCTACGAAATGCTTGCCTCGAACGAATTCTTCACTTCAATGATGTAGTTGTGCGCTCACAAAGCCACGCCACTGGTTCAAGCCATCATCACTGTGATACTTGACCCTAGACCAAGACTTGCAGAATGTAATTTGTGTTTGCCTTGTTTGCGTAGTGTATATTCATAATGTTCCAGCCACCCTTCCTTGATTTACTTTATTCCCTTTCGACTTTTCTCGCGTGCGGTATTAATCGTATTCCCGGCCGTAAATATTGAGTATGTCTGCCAGGTAAAATTCCCTGCTATTCAACTTGGTGGTAGTTTCGACGCCCCGCTCAAACTTCGAGTGAGCGACTAAGTTAATATTGAAGCTCTGGGGGCCATCATGATACGTCCGAGACAGATGTTGTCCCTGGCTGGACTTGTGCTCAGCGGTAGTTTCTTGTCGATACTCTTCTTCTACAAAAATTCTGGACGTGAGTTTATGAAACCTATCAACGTCTACCTAGAAGAAAAGCCGACCGAGGCGGGACCTACACCACAATATAAACCAGCTCCCTCCTACACGCCGCCTCCCATAGAAGACCCATTTCCAGCATTGGCGACTTCGAACCCACCCCCTATCCCGACATACAATGTTGCCGAGAAGGATGCATGGGTTAAGTATGGGCTGGAAATCGCACCGCCGTTGGTGATCGGGTTCACTCGATCTTGGCCCATGTTGCTCCAAACTGTGGTTTCTTATATCACAGCTGGCTGGCCGGCAGAGCAGATCTATGTGGTCGAAAATACGGGCATGCAGCAGGCCAACGCGCGTGGCCAGCTAGGTCTCCAGCACCCGTGGTATCTTAACCACGCGTCGTTAAAGCGCCTCGGTGTAAATATCGTCCAGACGCCGGTCTTGTTGAGCTTTGCGCAGCTGCAGAACTTCTATCTCTCGCTATCCTATGCCAACAGCTGGCCGTATTACTTTTGGAGCCATATGGACGTCCTCGCACTAGGGCACGAGAACGGGTTCGAGAACCTCACGCCGCGTGCGGGTGAACCGGGCTACAAGAGTCTATATACCTTGTGTCTCGAGGAGCTTAATCGCACACTGGAGACAGATGACAGGTGGGGGTTACGATTTTTTGCGTACGACCACCTCACGCTACAGAATCCGAAGGCGATCGAAGATATTGGCGGTTGGGACACTCTAATCCCGTATTACATGACGGATTGTGATACTTACACCCGTCTACATATGAGAAACTGGACACAGAAAGACGCCAACTGTGGAGTTATAACTGATACGTCCGTCGCGCTCGACAATCTCCTCGCTCTATACCGAGATCCGACTATAACGCCCAGCTTCCGTGACCCCAACCCTCCTCCGCCGCCCATAGAAGACAATAAACAGAAAAGGGATACACAAATTACTCCCCGGGGGCCCGCTGACCCTTTGGAATACTGGAAGGTATTGCTAGGCGTTGCTGATCACATGTTCCACTATAAGCACAGCGGTCGCGGGCGCAATACATGGCAGTCGGGCCAGCACGGCGGCCAGGGCGAACCTTTCTACTATGACTCCGCGGGATTCACAGAGGCTCTCGAAGTGCTGACGGAGGCGGGCAAGGAAGTATTTCGTCGAAAATGGGGACACTTAAACTGTGACCTAATAGTGGGAGGTGGACTGAAGTTTGAAGACCAATGGCGGGTCTTACAGGATTGGTAAAAATGGAAGAAAAGCCGCCTATCCTATCCCTGGGTGGTTAATGGTATATTTGATAGGGATATATAATTAGAAGTTTTGCTGTCTTTATCCCCGTCTTTGATATATTGGGTTCTCAAAGCGTATCATGATTCGCACCATTTTGTAACGCGCGCTTTCCGGATAGATATTCTCGACAATCTTCCGTAGATTCACTACTCGGGTCTCGTCTACGATAAGTAGATTTAATGCGTCAAGCCTCTCGACTCTCATCGTCGTTTATACTCCTAGGAATATATAGTGCGTGGCGTGATGAAACGAAATAAACTCGTTGACAGAGATACATAGTCTCTAAATACAGGCCCAAATATCCTAGAATGCTCCCTTCAGGTGAACTTTAAGAATTCGAAATACGATAGAGCGAACTCATAAAAACACTTATCTTTTTGCTGAGCAGTCCATTTAGTCGTTGGAAAGCCAAACCTTTGAGATTAGAGGACTACATGTAAGCTAGCCTGCATTGTACTTAAAAAGTCTCTGGGTGTCGTTCGTGTCGTATGGTTAATGAAAGACGAGAAAATTATTATCCTAGGTACTAGAATGTCTTATCTCGAGACATCGACGTCTTCCGGGCTAGCACGACGGCCTTTTAATTGGTTCGTAGTATATGATCGCCTACACCCCGTGTCCCGCTCCGGTGTTCCACTGGCGGTAAGCCAGATGGTAGCGACGAACCGCAATGCAGATTGAGTATTGCCACTGTCTATTCTTTATCATCTGCCGGTGGTTATTAAGGATACGCCGCCAATGACCGTAATGATTCCCGAGGGAGATATCATAGGGAAAGCACAGTAATAGTTACCGTTTCTGAAAATTATATAGGATATGGCGACCTGTAAGTATTATAAGAAACTGCTGTAACTGGGAAATATTATCTAACCGTGTTATTCATGTATGTTAACTAGCTCTGAGTAACATGTAGATGATCAGCTATACAGATGGCTCCATTTCTTCTGACTTAGGTTTCGTGCATATGATCAACAACGATCGTTTCCACCTCGGGGTTGTACTACAGACCATACCATGATACATCTCTTATGAGAATGAGAATGACTGCTCGAGTGATGCCCTGGTTGAATGCTATATTGGGAGTGCTATTTTAAAAGTCATAGATGAAAGCGTAGTGTATAGTTAGTTGTATAGTACTTCATAAAGATATCAGCAGCTATTAAGTCGTTTAACTAATTATATTTAGACTGAGTGTATGATCGCTATATATTTGAATATACTTCAAAGCTATAATGGCCTCGGCCGATAGGCTAAACTCTTGGTAGCATATGCAGTGTCCCCCATCTCAGGCAGTCGACCAGGTCCGGATGTTGCTCAAACCAAGCCACTGTCGATAATTATACTCGCGTCTCGGAGCCGGAGACGCCTCAAGTTGCCTCGCATCCCCGTCGTATCAATCTCGTAGTCTTGGCAATGCAGTAAAAAAGAATAATAATAATAAAAATAGCAAGGTGATGATAAACGCCTGGCCAATGCAGAAATTCCCAATGCTCCCCCGGGCAGTAGAATAAATGCAGAATGGCCTGTCTAATACTGGTCTATATCCCATTGTATCTTCGTCAAGTTGTGATAGTCAAAGTCCAAGGCACGCCAATGTAGTCGTATATCTAATGCGATTATAGATGGTGTGATTCGGTCCGGAATAAGGATCGATCGAATTGGTATAAATCGTAACGCGCGCGTTAAATCTGTTAATTCTACATATGCCCATGTAGTCATGCAAATACTGTGTTGGGTATCATGGAAAAGGAATGAGAACTGCTCGGGATTCCACGCCCCGAATTTCGTTCGTCGCTTCGTTCATCGGTAATTCAGTGTTTATTTTGCTCGTGGTTACTGGGTGTAGTCGTCGAGCTTGGGTGATGGCGGTGGTGATTGTGATTGTGATGGTTATGGTGGTGGTTATGGTGATGGTGAGGGTGATGCGTATGTGAATTGTGTTGTCGGACCTGAGTCGCGAGCATAAGTATGTCTCATTCTACCGCTGATCTTGATCCTAGGGTGAAACTTACTCTTTGACGACCCCGTCGTTCCTCTTCGACTGGACCGCCGATCGATTTCCTCTCTTCCTCATACCAAGCACTCAGGCTTTTACCGCTGAACATCAAGTCTTCGTCATCTATTACTATTGGTTCCATCCACCCTTGTTTTTGCAACTCTGCCTCTCGCGCGTTCGTGTCCGGCAGGTAGTAATGCAGGGTTTCGTCGCCGGGGTTATGCGACGTCGTTGAAGTAGTAGTAACCATCTTGAGAGGGGATGGGTTATGCGCCTGAGAGTTCGTGGGGTTTTGCAATGATTTATTATGAGAAGACGGGCGCGGCGAACGCGGTTGCGAGTGTGGTGATTTGTGGTTACGTTGAGATATCGTTCTGCTTCGTGGTATTCTGTTGTCTTCAGATACACCCGAATTACGTCGCGACATGAGCGATGAAAGCTTGACGCGGGATTACAAAATATTGCTCGGACCGCGTAGTAGATGCGTGCTGAGCAGCTAGAATGGAAATATAGAGGCGTTGGAATTGTGATTGGTGAGACGGAAGAGCTTGTTTTGTTTGTATTCTTGTATATATTCCTCGGCGTATATTGTCGCGTATGTCGACGTTGTTTATTTATTGTAAGTTATAAGTTATTGTAAGTGAAGATAGGCCGCGCCAGGCTACCTTTTGTGTATCAAATTCCAACCCCGTTCCAAGGGCGGAAAGTCGAATCTATGACTATTGGAAGAGAGGTGGGTATGGGGATAAGAATAGAATCTGGAGGAAGTAGTAATAATATATAACACGCATCAAGGGGTCCGGAGCTAGCAGGATGAGATTTCAAGCCCGTAATAATAAGAATTGTTGGGTGGCTGGTTAGGCAAAAAGGAGAGGAAACGGTACCGCCGAGGCGGGGATTTCCGGAATAGGAAATCCAATACGGTACAAACGGTTAAAAAGATGTTACCATGTGATACGGTAACTAAACGGAGAATAATTTTATTGATACGTCGTTTCGTTCGAGCCTTTACCTACACCACCAATATTCGTTGGCCAGATCAAGGAAATTAATAACAAAGACAAAGCTATATAACTGATCTTGTTGAAAAATATATGAAGAATTAAGTTTTTTGGATAGTACGTGGCATCTGTGGCTTGTTATGTATTCGAGACGCCAAAGAGCCAAGACTTGGTGGCCAGGAACCCGAGTACTTTTTAGGAAAAGAAGCTATTCAGTTGTTGGGAAGGATATATACTTTAATATGATGTATTTCGCCTCTTAGGACTAGGATTCTTGTGGGGTTCGAGGTGTAAGCGACCGAACAGCCGAAATGAAGGCAAAATACTCGGCCGCGCGGAGAAGAGACCCACAACGACACACGGTTAATGCTCAATAAATGGAGGAATACTCACCGGTCTGAAGACCGTTGCGAGAAAAACTATGAAAGCAAAATCAGGATACTTTAGGTTATCTAGGTAGTTACATACCTTAGGTACCTACCTACCAAGGTATGTTCTGGCAAAGTATACGCCTGACAATGATGATAATGATTATAATGGTGATGATGATGATCATGATAATAGCTTGGCAAATTTATAATTGCCGTTTGAAAATTTTAAAAAGGTAATTAATGCGATGATCGCATGCTGTGAGAGGCATCCTCGACATTGGTGGCGGTTCTATTGTAAGATTCCAACCCAGTTGCTTATCGAAGAAGCGAGTAATAAATACTGTGTAAATCTTGCAAGCCATTTGGTAGAAACCGAACTCTTCAAATGTAGGTACTTGACCCAAAGTAAGCGAGTAACTGGTAGGGTCGGTTAAAAAAAGAGTGCCGTACATAGTTGAGACAACGCGTCAAAACATGTAACTAACTTAAATAATAGTTTATTCTTCTTCAAGGACCTAGCGACTATTAAGGCACTTAAACAACAAAGAGGGGAAGCTTCTTTGAAAACAGCTAACTATTATGATGTTAATTGGTTAGTTACTGGCTAAGACAGCAACGATGGTAAACTTGGAATTGGGCGTAATCAGTATGACGAGTTTCTACATATGTATAAGGTCCTAACCTAGTGTAAAGCCTGCTTTTTGTCGCGTCGGCGGTACCGGGACAGTTATGGCATGCTTCCTTTTGAGGCTCACGCACAATTGATGATGAATACCTATGGCCGATCCCGATGGCACCTTGATATGTAAAAACTCACAAGCTCGATAGACAGGGTCCAGGGCTCTAACAACTTCAAACCCCACGAAGGGGTGGATTCCACGGGGGTTTAGCAACAATTCAGCCATCCTTGCATAGGTAGGTAGTCTATTTCACCCAGTTACCGTTAGGTAGTAGTTTCACGTTCCATAACATCACCGTAGAAAACTGTATACATTACGATATGCGGCCTCAACTCGGTCTATCTTACGGACTTGAAAACTTCATCAGCCTGTACATAGATAGACATGAAGCTTACCTGGCCCAACCGGTTAAGCAGGCTGGCCTGCTTGTCAGCTTCGCTAGCATAGGCCGCGGCCGCAATTCGATTGCATGCTCCCATTGGGAAAGCCAACACATAGCGGAACCGTATCGAAGCAAATCCCGGTCACGTCTGGACCGGTCGAGATGAGCTGCAAGTCAATCATCAGCGAGCTGATCGACAGAGATCGACCCTGTCAACGTGCTTTTTTAAAAGATGTATATCATATATAGGTACCTATCTATGTATTCGCAACCGGTAGAAAGGCTGGCATAAACTGACCTACGGTATAGTATAACTAGACTTTTATTACAGCCAGTTCCAATCTAGAAGAGTCTCTAGGGGAGGAGGTTGGATATTACTCTAGAAACCACATCGAGGGCTATGTACCTAAAGTTATCAACCTATGTTGTTTGCGTTTAGCACGGTCCAGGACTCCAGTGCGCTTTCGGACTTGGGGCCCTGTAAGTTTTCATGTCTCGGCCCCGATCCCTTCATCTCGAAGTCCCCAATCATTCAAATCACGTATTAATTAATTAATTAATGAATACGTTGGAATGTTGCGTGAATGTGAGGTGAGGCCTATACACTCCAAGATATTCTTTACCTTGACCGACACTCTTACATGACAAGCAGCTGATTGATGCTGATGCTAATCGTCAGCATTTTATTATAAAATTCTAAGAGCCTCTAGCAGCAATGCCGTACCACGTGTGTAGGTGTGTCTGGTATGTAAGACCTTCGCGGACTGTGCTCCATTTTCCAAACTGCCAAGCAGGTCGGGCTGCTAATGCAACCCTGTCCAATGTAATGATCTTCTCCGGGGTACAGGGGTCAAGTAAGCAGATATGATATGTCTGTCCGTCTGTCTGTATGTCTGTACATATGTCTGGCGCAAGGCCGTACCACTCCGCCTCGAATAATAGCTGCTATTGGCTTCTACGAACTTTCACCCCTTCGCTTATCGATGTCCTCCTTCCAAATACATAGTAGATCAATTTGATACACACCTCGCTTCGCTCAACAAACAAAGCTTAACTCCAATGCTCGTGAAGGATACGACTCGAACTCAATCTCGAAAGATCAAGAGCAGATCAAGAGCGGGGTGAATTTGGACCCCCAGACCCCCCAAGAATGCCAATACCTACCCCATCCGTACTTAGTAAAGACCAACTAACAAGGGTTGCAGTTTGAGGGGTTCCCAGGGCTGACCAAACCCATTAATGAGCGATCTTTGCACATGCTCGTCCGTTAGTTATGGATGTATGCATGTTATGCATGGGAATTTGCGATTCGCAAGAGCAAATGTCTATTCCTCGATATGCAGCGCTTAATCCTTATACCGACCACTGTTTCTGACGACCGTATCAATAACGGCCTAACCGTCAGAACCGTCAGATATATATACCTCTGCGTTGTTGGCTCGTTTACAAGTGCCCACGTATGTGGAACGCCGCAAAATGCTGGGTGATGTGTAAGTGTTGTGTATCCCCTGTATATCCCCTGTGTATCCTATGTGTTCCCGTGTAATAAGTGTTGCTGCAAATACCCTAGGATGCCTTACTGGGCCAGCTGGGCCTACCTAGTAATCGTCGGGATACCATTCTGGTTTGAAAAAGAGCAACGTAGGTACATACCTTAGGTAGCTATTATTGTCTTGTCTACCTAATTCTTGAATTTTTAGTAAGAACTCCGTAGCAGTACAATATTTCACGGTAGGATTTGACGAGAGATTCCGTCAGGTATCGCGAATACGACCGAGAGATATTTAGCAACCCGATTCCAATTGCTATCATTACGTAGGGTCCATTCGGTAGGAAGGAGGGTCAACTGATCGGCCGCCAGCTCGGCTTGAGGCTGTCCTAAGACCAGATCCTGTGCCACAGCACCGCTAAGATCTATATCATGTGTTGGGCTGACAGCCTGCTAAACACCGTCACTTTTCCATCATCTGAATATTGTGCAACCAAACCGTTTATTCGGCGTTTACACTACTATATAAAATATCTAGAATACATATGGAACGAAGGAGAAACTGCCACGCGTTATTTTCGCGGAACTTTAGAAATTTCTCGACGAAGTTGTAACATGTTTTCGCGCATACTAGCATACACTATATACTACAAGCAGGCTTTAATAGATAAGTATTTCGTCATAGCGGATCCCGGCTGAGCTGCCAAGCCGCGTTGCATCCAGGCGGCATAATGGAACCGGCATAGCGAGAGGTAGGTATCTCGATATCCGACTGGAAGCCTCTAACCTAGTCCAATTCTTAGTACGGATAACTATTATTCGTCGCCGCATTACTAGCCTATTTAAGCTATTTATGGGTGTTCCCAATAAGGTTAAAGATACGGCAATGTAGTTTTAACCCCTATCATCGCCTCTACCTTCAAGTCTTTATTAACGTCATTAACGTCATAAACGCCATTCGACGCCGGGGCCCTGTGGGCCTCACAAGGGTTTGTAGACGTTGACAATTTGGGCGAAGAGCTTCAGTTGATGAGCCGGAGATTAACTTACCTAGTACGTTTAGTTGTTCATATGTACAATTGCTCGGAAACAAACCTATACAATTGTATTCAAGCATACCTAAGTTATGACCTACTTACAACATAACTGAACGAATTAATTCTCGTACTTCGGTCCCTAGATAAATTACTAAAGATGCCCCGTTACTCCAAGACAGTCCAAAATAATTTTGGTTTTAAATGTAAGACTAAGCCAAGAGACATAAGTGCTAGGGATAGCTGACTACACCATTCGTATGTATAGAAGTTATACAAATCGCAGGAAATGGTAAAACATATGCGCAACTTTAATGACAGCGAATGCTGTTAAGCTTATTGTATAAGCCACATGGGTCGGCTTATTAACCGTGGGACCCTAAAGCTACGAAGTTGAGACATCAAATGCCTAGTTATTAGACAAGGAACGACAGTTTTGAAGTTCCTCGATAACTTAATAGCCCTCATATGTGATAGATAATAAAACCGAGCTTGCGGCATATTTATACTTGGTAAACTTGTGATTTACCTGTAATAATATAGGTTAAGCATGTAGAGTATGGTTGGTTGAAAAAGACTTGCATTAAAAAAGAAAATGTCAAAAGAGTTAAGCAAGAGTATTGTGGACCCAAAGATATTAAGTAGACCTTAAGGCGTGAAAGTAAGTCAAACAATTGTCTTTTATAGGTTCATCTATTTATCTAAACTTCTTATAGTCTTAACTAAGTCCAATTAATTCCGTAAGACTTTGTTTTAATTGCAATTAAAATATTTTGGTAGAGTCAAACGACGATAAACGAATTAGATGAAAAGGTATCTTCGTGTAAAAACCCGTGCCATGTAAACTACCCGTGGTTAGCGAAAGTAGAAGGACTATTTATAAAATTATTAATTGTGTCTAGTATCATATTAATAATTGTCTACCTCTTAATGGTAGGCTATTAGACAATGCATCTCACATGTGACGCGGTAATCCCCAAACATCATTGGTTGCATGTGAATCTATTTTCTCACGTAACCGATTCGGTATCTTGTTCTCTTCAACGGTGGCATTTCTATAACGTAATTGGATCACTACATTTACGGAGACTTGCCCAAGGATTCGCAGAATGCAACTTTCTCGTTCGTGATCGGGCATCGTACGCTTTTGCTCTTGCTTACATCCTATCAGGCAATAGTAGATTTATGAAATGGCTTCCATGAGCGGAACTGACAAGATGGTCTCGCTTCCTAGGAAGGCCAGGCAGCGCTACTTCGTTGCGACGATCGTTATAATGATCTTGTCAGCAGCGCTGGCGCTCGACGTCCTCTACCTAAGACCCGGGGCTCTGTCGATAGGGCAACAGGCTCTTGCGCTTCTGTTGTTGCTTATAGGCTGGTTTACGCAAATGTCCTTGGGCGGAACGCATCGGTATTATGTGGAAATGATACGGAATGGGTGTTCGCCTCCGCCTCTTTTCCCGAATGATCCTTTTGGGGTGCGCTTCCTCCTCGATGCGGCGCAGCACATAAAGTCGAATACGCTGCTCGCGGCCTGGAGCGGACTCTTTCATACGCTAGGGCACACGTTCAAGCATCGTGTATTCCCAGGTCCCGGTGACACGATTACGACTGATGAGCCTGATAACGTGCGTGCCGTGCTCAGTACTCAGTTCGACGACTGGGACATACCCCGGCTACGTATTAAAGCGTTTCTCCCCGTCCTTGGTCACTACTCTGTAAGCTTCGCATATAACTTCTTTCGGTGCCCATGCTCGACTAACAGGACTTCCTTATCAAGATTTTCGCCTCTAATGGGGATGCATGGAAGCGAGCGAGAACAACTCTGCGACCGGCTTTTGTCCGTGATCAGGTTGCTGATCTACGATGCCTTGATCGTCACATCACTAAACTTATACAAGCGATTCCACGCGATGGCAATCCCTTCGACTTGCAGGCCATGTTTTCTATGATGACTACTGACACTATATCCGACTTTATGTTTGGACGGTCGACTGACATCCTGGACAATGCGTCCGGGGATGGTCTACGATTCGGTCGCTGCTTTGACGTATGTATGCAGAAGATCGCCAACCGAGCTCGACTGGGTTGGATATCAATGCTTTTTGGAGACCGTGAGCTAGATGAATGTACAGCATTTATGAATGCATATGTGGAAAAGTACGTTGCAGAGGTAAGAGGCGAACAAAGTGAGAAGAGCGAGGAAGAACGAGAGAGCAAGAGATACATGTTCCTTAGCGAACTACTTCGGACCGGGGAATCGGATGAAGCCATTCGCGATCATCTCATGAGCATATTCACGGCAGGTAGGGATACTACGACGAGTGTACTGTCATACTTATTTTTCGAGCTTTCACGACGGCCGGACGTGGTTGCTGCAATCCGGCGGGAGATTGAAGATCTAAAAATGGACGATACAAGCCAGCTACCAGCTTGGGAAAGTTTAAGAGCTATGAAGTACCTGAACTGGGCCGTTAAAGAAGCTCTACGACTTAACCCGCCCGTGGCGGCCAACGCCCGCGAAGCCGTACGCGACACTATCTTACCTACCGGCGGCGGACCTGACGGAAAGTCGCCTATCTTTGTAACTAAGGGTACGATATTTAGATATTTGCCTTGGGCTCTACACAGGCGTCAGGATATCTACGGTGATGATGCCGACGAGTTTCGTCCTGAACGCTGGGAGACCCTGAGAACTACGTATGTATCTTAATGAGCTGTGCTTTATATTGCTCGCCTAGTTTCTAGGCCTAGTTTCTAGGCCTAGTTATTGACTCCAACATCTTGTAGTTTCGAATATGTCCCGTTTAATGCTGGACCACGAATTTGCATCGGGCAACAATTTGCGTTGACTCAGATAGCTTTTGTTACGCTACGGCTCCTACAAGCCTTCAAGAAGATCGAGCGGAAAGACGACAGGCCGCCTATCCAGAAATTCGGCGTTAACACTTCCATGCTGTACGGATGTTGGGTTAGCATGACACCTGCGTGAACTCAGAATGCCAGGTTGTAGCTTCGGCCTTATAAGTGAAAGAGGATTTCCGATGAAGAGCGAGCTTGCTTTTCTAAGCCACCTATGTAGTAGCTAGTATAAAACGGTAGTTTCATTAAAATCGTAATACGTCGTATTCTAGAAGATACATGAAAAAAAAAGCCTATACGCCGGGACCTCCTTGCTCGACTTCCGAACCTAGAGCACGCATTAATCCGCGCACTGCCTTTTGAATCTACCTCTGTGAATTCTTCCCTCCTAACCTCCTTTTCCCCTCCCGATCCGCTAGCCAGGGTTTTCTCACTCCGAGCCCCTGAATCTACGATTGAACTCTTCTACAGCTACGGCTACCATTCGATACAAGAACGCCCGCCCGCTCTCCTCACCGACAGGGATAAACGGCCCGTTAGTACCGCCACGCAAGACGATGCTGAGGCCTGTGCGTTCCTTTGCGATTGTCTGCACGTCCTTTAGCGGTATATCCCATTCGGTAGTAAGTCTCCGACTTCTAATGAGAAGAATTCGACTAAACGTGACCATGACCACCATATCTTCTCTGGGAAGGTCCAAGTGCGCGATGTAGTCCTCGTTAAAATATTTCCCGTTGTCCACCTGCTTAAGCCAGGACTGTCCTAGAGCTTCGCGCTGATTGTAAGGACGGACGATACCATCAGCGGGTATGAACCGCGTCAGGCGGACGCGGTCGAGCTCAGAACCGTCGAAGACGGTTGTAGTATTGCGAATACCTTCGGACACGTTAGACGCGAGGTCGAACACTCCGACAGCAGGCTTAGTTGCGAGACCAATAAAGCCTTTTCCAACCCCTTTGAAGAATCCAACAGCCCCTTCCTGTTCCGCGCCTTCAAGGGGTTTCCGGGCAACACCTCCGATTCCGGACGCAACTGAGGTGAAAAAGGAATTTGCACCAGCGGTAACACCAAATAGGGCGTGCTTAGGCCGGTTGCGAGCTCGCGTAATACGCCGGCGATCTTGGAATTGCTTGTCGAGAGTTGCGGCGGCTAGACCCTTGCCAAAGCTTCCAGTGACTTTGGAAAATGAATCAGAGAAACCGTAGACGGACTTTTTAACAAAGCTAGCGGCTCCCTTTGCAATTCCTAGACCTAGGTCTTCGGGCTTATCAGACATAATAAGCCCTTGATATGGCTCGTAGAAGACGTCGGTTATACCGCTACTGATACTGTTAAATAAACCGACGGGGTTGCCGAGGAAGTCGGCACTGCCGATGATCTTATGGACCTGGTATAGAACTTCTTGGCTGTAGTGATTCGAGATGTTCTGTGTCAAAACGGGAATGGAAACTCGAGCATTCTCTAATAACAACGCGTTCAACCGGATTGGGGCATCATTGACGTTCCCGATGGCCATAGTCAACACGTTGACGAAGAACATGATAGGATTTCGAGAGGAGGTCTTGTCCTCTACGTTAACGCGTTCGGTACGCATGAAAGACAAATCTAATTGCATCGGCTGTATGTTTAGGACCTCAAAGTAAATGTCCTGGTCCGATTGTTCTTGTTTCGGCTCGGGAATATCTAAGCACTCGTCGCAGAGTTTACCCTCATTCGTTTCAGACCAGGAGGCCCCAGGGATCTTGGAGAAATCTAGAACCGCGTAGATAAAGTCCTCGTCAAGATCAATGGTCATCTGCTGAAGTAGTACTGTAGCGTATTTGACGTATAGAACGCCGTACGAGTCATCCTTGACTCTTGTAACCATGGCATGCAACGAAGGGTGTAGCTCAGTCTCCTGTGCTTGTTTTGGGACTACGCTAGGGTAGAGTATCATTGGGAAGAGACCACCATATAGCTGATTATCAATCTGTATCCATTTAATGGACGTACTGACGGTCTGGTAGAGAGCCGATTCGCTATAACGAAGGTTGATGTCTCTGAATGTTATGTATGCCAATTCCTTCAACTGTTGATTGATGAGCGAGATACCAACCCCAGAAAGCTTTAACTGTGCTTGGAACGTTGTATCGGTATCCTGGCTCTTGACTTCAAAGCTGCCGGCGCTGTTGCTCGAACCCGTCTGTGTCCTCTGGCGGTAGAGGCTCTTGCTTGGCTTGTAATTAGACAAAATAAGCGTCTGAGTTGGTCCATCGGCAGCAACAGTGATGTCGATAATCTTTTGGGTACCGGAACTGGTGACGAATTTCATTGGGATCTGATTGCCAATTTCCGCTAGCTTTACGTGACGCTCTTTACCATATGCGCTGATGACCACTTCCTTGAACTTGGCGGCTGGGAAGTCCCAAGCATAGGGCATGATGCTACGTGGTGGCAAGCGGTATCTAATCGGCCTCCATCCGGAGCGATCCTCAACCCCATCCTCGTCTATATTCGGGTTTGCTTGGTAGAAAGTGAACTCAACATCACTTTCATTTCGCATGGAAAAGGGCCAATTCTTTGTCTCCATGCTAAGGTGGAGGAAGATCGTCGCATCCTCCATCAGAACTTCAACTCGCATAAGACGTTGCCGCTGCCCGGCTCTTGCAATTTTGACATGCACAGTACCCAAGTCCGATATGTTGATCGGTGCTGTCCACTGATCGTCTATCCCTGGGAATCTGAAAGATATTTGTTTTGTAGCTGATCTTTGAAGCCAATAAAGGGGCTGCAGGCCCCCGGGATTCAATGTCATAGTCTTCGGAGAAGTTGGCTCTCTAATAACGAGCTCTTCGCCGATCTTGTTCTTGACTACGAAGCGCGGTGCTATAGTGACGACTTTTGTCAACTTGTATTTACCCTCGCCGGGCTCCACAGTGATACCAACGTGGATTTCGGAATCCTTTTTCGACGACGGTAAAACGATTTCCGTTGTGCTCCCAATAGCGTCGAAACTCTGCGGTTTACTCCAATCCGAGTCGCCTATTTTGAGAAGGGCTCGGTTGCGTTGATCGTCGTTGGTATACGAGAACATGAAAGGCAAAGCTTTTGGCCGCCCTTGATCTGAGGTATCTGCTATGGCTGACTGGCCCGCAGCCCTCTTCGGCTGCTGTAAGAACTGCTTGCTGCGGATTTCAACCTCTAACCCCGTCTTGTTGAGTATGACATAAGGACTGTACACGGTGACCTTGAAAGCACCGCCCCCATCTGGAATCTTGAAATAATGAAGTCTAAGGTAGAGAGAGAGATCTTCGTTATCCTTGCATATTAGTTTATGTTCTTTACGGAAGTCTTCTTGTGCGCCAGAATTGATGATAGCAAATTCGCTGGACTTGAATTTGGTATCTTGCATGTTGATGCTCAGTAGGAGAAGATGAGACAACTCTACTACATGGACCGGACTAACACCACCCTTCCGTAGGAAGTTTGTCCAATCTCGTTTCGTATTTTTGTCGTAAATGCGGTATTTGAAATCGTAAGGAAGAAGGTTCTCTAAGACTATGGGAGGGGAGAGTTTTAATCTCATATACGGGTATTTCCTATTAAGATTAGCGTCGCGAACGCATTGTATTTGCGAGAAACTCACCCGGTGAGGAAGTGGCCTGGATCAAAGTTCGCGTGAAGTTGGAAAAAGAATGTATCACTGTTCTCTCCTTTGCACACCAGTGTACGCGTGGGTCTCTTGAGCAGATCTCTCCACCACAAATGTTCGGATGACCATGCGTAACCAAAGCCCGAATCTGGTCGTATCAGTAAGGATTTGACATAGGCGGCAGCTACCGGAGCCGGTCGGCTTTCTCCTGGTGCGATCTTCTCGATCTTAAGAAGATGGCCTTCTTGAACATCGTACACGCCTAATTCAACTGGTATCTGTGTCTCATTTGTTACCACGAGGGGAGAGCGAAGCGTAACATATTTGATATTGTCTGAGCCAAGCTTTACTTCAACAAGTAGCCGATGGAGGGTGTTATCAGTCTTAGGTCGGAGGCTATAAAGGAACTCGCCTTCACGGTTAAGGCGGATGTTCTTAACTGTATCAAAACCACTGCCTTCAATTTCAACAGCAACGCTGCTTGCCGCATTGCTTTCTGACATGATATTTTCTCGGATCTTTTCCCAATGCTCGAAGCTCCATGGGCCTTCTTCGCCGTCTTGCAATTTGAGAGAGATATTCTCATCGTTACTCTGGCTTCTAGCCTGCACTGAGACGTTGAAGCCGGTATAGTTTCGGATCTTATAGGGAGCCTCTACCCCACGGGGTTTACCTAACACATCCTCATCTTTAGTCAAGAAATCGAATGATTTGGACGCCAAGGCGATTGTCGCAGTTGTGATTGTGACATCAAATGTCCTTTTCGACGACACGTCAACCGAGAAGAGGCCGGTCTCTTGTTGCTTCGCAACGCCAAGACCTACTTGCCAAGGTTCCAAGAGCGGCTCCCAAGCAGACTTTGCGAAATTGTAGACATTGACATACATATCAATCGCAGTCTCAGCTTTGAGATTACTAGACCAATCCGTTGATGATACTTTGAATTTATTGATGCTCAGATCTAGGATCGGCAATTCGTGAACGTCACCAATCAGTATGACACGAATTCCATCAATTGCAGCAGTGAGTTCCTCATGGCGCTTAGGAGCTGTGCTAATATCGTGGGGTTGGTGGAGTTGGCCCTTCCCGGATTTCTTAGTGACTATCGTACCGGAAGCTTTCGCTGTTTTATTCCTGCTAGTAGTAATGGTAGATTGTCCCCGACCACTCGCTGTGCGCTCTTTAAGTCCAGCTTGTCTCAGCTGCTTTACTTTCCTATTGGATGCACTGCTCTTCGGCTCGCTATCATCCTTCTCGGAAAGCTCAGATGCCTTGCTAATAATCTGGAGGACAAGGAGAATGTCTCGAAGTGAAAGCCGGAGAATTAGCGGATCGATATCAACATGGATGCTTGTATAGTCCGTCCGTGAATTATCCATTGATATTTGGATCGAGAAGTCGTCAAGGATACGAAGTCGTGTCTCATCGAATTTATCCATGCGGCAGAGAAACATTCTAACTTGGGCGACTTGGAAAGTCAATGAATGTTGTTGTGAAAG